TTCTCTGTTGCCTGTTGAAATCCTATTTCACTGACTCATTTTACTTTGCTCTAAAGCAGGGATTTCCTGAAAACTGGCTCCAGGCCAGTACTACAATATAAATATTATAGGATATAGTATGATGGTACTACTTGTGTGTGTTTGAAGTTAAAGAATCATAGAAAGGTTTGGGTTGGAAGGGACCTTAAGGACTAGCAATTCCAGTGCCCCTGCCATGGGCAGGGTCACCTTCCACTAGACTGGGTTGCTGAGACCCCCCATTTAAACGGGCCTTGGGTGTTTCCAGTGATGGGGCAGCCACAACTTCTCTGGACAGCCTGTTCCAATGCCTCACCACTCTCACAGTAGGGCATTTTTCCCTAATATCTAACACAAATGTTATCAAGATTATTATTCTTTACTTCAGTGTTTTACCATTTAACCTTTAATGAAGGATTAAATTGTTTCATGGGGTAATTATCACCATTTTGTTCCTAAAATGCAAGTACTCTGCTACTAGGAAAGCATTACCTCATTGGACCTTGTTTGAAAATTCTGATACATAGTGGGTTTTTTTTGTGGTGTCTAAAGTAGCAATTGATGTGCACTGATTACAATATTGGTTTTGTTTGTTTGTGTTTTTAAAGTATTAACCTCTTAAAACATTTATATAAGTAATTAAAAGTAATTCCCCATCAAAGGTAATGATTGGAACCAAGCTTCATATAAAACAAAGACATCAAGAATCAATCTGGAAATCTCCAACTCTGTATCATTCTTCTCTGTAGCTACATTTCTGCTGTACATAAAATCATCAAGACTAAGAGCAACAGCAAGAATGCTTTTGAAAGATAGATACAGTATCTTGTGGGTATGAACTCTTCTCCTGGGGTGACAGCTGTGTGCTTCATTGTGTGCTAATGATGATGTTAATAAATGCCAACAATTTTGATGATCATCAAAGCATGCAAAAGAGGGAGAAGGAGATTCATGTTATGAAGTTATGACAATATTTTCTGAAGTTTCAATGTGTCTGTGATGGCCTGGTAAGATTGCAGCAAGTTAAAAGTAAGTATCTGAACATGTCTCTGTTTTTAACAGTTCATATTTGGGTTTTGGAATGACTTTATCTTGTCTTTAAGGAGGGGTTGTCAGTGTCCAGAAATCTGAAGTGCTGCATTTTGAACATGACTGCAAAAAATGTGGGTTATGTTAATCCCTAATTTAAGGATTATTTTAGCTTAAATATGAAATATTTAAAACTATTTAAAATAATATTTGATTATTCATTTCCTTGCTAATCCTTCTCCCATGCTATGTCCTTTAGTAGTATCTTGTTTAGAAGGGAAAAGAGGAAGATATGAATAATGTGTCCTCACAGTGTACTTTGTCCATGTCTATTTACTAGTGATATGAGCTGACTATTTAGTGGCTACACTGATGATATGGTGCAACCTGACCACTATGTGTTTGGTTTCTTTAACAGAAGGGTCCAAGTTTTTAATGTTGGAGGCAGAAAAATTGCCGTCTTGCAGCTAATGGGGCTTTTCTCATGATACTGTATCATCCTTTTTCCACAGGCAAAAGTATGTATAGACAACTCTTGTGAATTTCTGTAAGCAGAGATGAAATGTTTCCATGTAATACAAGTACTAAATATTAGGAGATCAAGGGAAGGTGAGGATTACTCAACAAAATGTGGATATGTGTAACCTTGATTGTTTAAAGTTTTGTTCTTTTAAAATACAGTGCCTGTTTAGATCACTAATGCATTTTAATTGTTTCCATCTTTCAAAATATGTCTAGCAAGTTCAGTTTCTAGTTGTTGTTATACAAATAAACTGGTATTAGAGGCATTGCTTTCTTCCTTTCAAACATGCTTTCAAATTAGTGCTTAATGTGGTTTGAAGATTTTGCCAACATACTCTTCCAGATCCTTCTCTTATAAGAGGGTGGCTGATTATATCTATCTTTCTTCTTTGGTTTACAAATGCCAATATATTCCAAAGAATTCAAACCCTGGGACCATTTGTCATCACACTTTGATTGTAGTTCACTTCATTATTGTATGTAGGAGGAAAAGCAAACAATTAGATGCCTGAACGGTGGAGCAGGGGGGAAGCTGGAGTGTCAGGACATGCTAAACATTCTTATTGCATTGCATACTTCAACCTCCTATTGTTTTCTCATTGCTTTTAACACTTACCTGCCTGAACGTGATAGTTGTAAATACATTTTAAACCAAATCAGAACTGTTTGACTGAAATACTAAGTACAAACTGTCTTGAAACAAATGGAGTCTAAGGGCTACAGACGTTTAGGGTTTAAATCCTACCTAACCCTGTGTGAGTTGCACAAATAAAGCAGAGAATTTGGTGTAAATGCAATAGCATGCAGCTTTTCTTAGCATGTTCTTTATAGATTTAGTCTCAAAGCAGCAATTTCAGACCTTGAAAGTGTCATAGGTGATCTGTTGAGTAAAGCGATATTGAGACCAGGATAAATGCCTGTTCCTCTGCTAATACTGAAAAAAAGCTCAAAGAAAACAGTAACCTCAAACTGAGTCAAATATAGCATTTCAGTGGTACTTTCTTCCATTCTCAGATGCATATTCTGAAACAAGTGACTTGCTGTAGTCACTAAAATAAGCTGTAAAGTTGCATCTTTCCTTTTGATGGTCATTTTCAAAACTACACTTTGACTAAAATGTAAACCAAAAGAACTGTGAATTGGATCTCTGCCCACTAAATTAGCCAAGGTGACAATTCCAGAAGAAAATATGTTAAGTCGTGGTGATGAGATGTACACACTCCACAGAAGAGCAGAACTGAAGACCCAGCTGTTCTCGGACACTTTGAGTGTTTTTAGGCTAATAATTACTTCCATTTCAGAGTTTAGGCTTCAAGAGTGTTGTTTTCCACTTAATCTGCCTCAGGTCTTCATATTATTAGAACCTTAAGTAGTGAAGACAGCTTACTGGAGGCTGTGCACTTGTCCATTTTTTCAAGACTATTTTTTTCTGCCAGTGGTCTGTAATTTTACATTCCAGTGACTTAACTGGACCATGTGGAAATAAAGGATATCAGGGCTGTTGAGTGGCTTTTTTTAAGCTTTAAGTCCCCTGCTTATATGGCAGGATTTAAATGAGAGAGATGCCTGAGACAAAATAAGATACATTTACTTGGAATTTCTCTACTTCTTCATTCATCAATCAACCTAATCTGAAAACACAAATTTCAGCGTCTTCCTTTTGCTGATGCTTAGTGCCAAAAGCACCTAAAGTTCCTAGGTAGCTATACGATTCTTAACTAATAGTATTCAATTAACCAATTCTTAAACGAGCATTCACTATCTGAACTGCTGCAATTACCCTTTAAATGGACCACCACATGAGTGCAAAGATCTGCTAATAGCCAGTTTACAGGTTTGGAAGCAAAAAACTGTGGATTTACTCGGATTCTCCCTTTGCATACACAAAGATGCAAGAGTCAATTGGTGCCAATATAGGATCTGGAATTTTATGAAGAGTCATTGAATCATTTGATAGTCTGGTTTGATGAAACATTTAGGTTTTCTTTTTAAGAAAAACCTGAGCCGCAGGTTTTCTTTTAAAATGCAGAAACGAGGGATTTTTAGTCTAGAAGCTGGCCTAAGGCCAAAAGCATGGCTTTTCCAAAATTTAGGGTGGAAAAAAAAAAGAGATACTTTTTCAAGTTATTTAGGTCCAACTAGGGAGCTCAAGTGCCCTGAGAATCAAAGTTCTCATAGCCTGGAAAGCATTTGCTCAAGTTGACAGTCTCTGACCCCTGGTTTTGGCAGGTCTGCAATTCCTGACCCAAGAGCAGGAATGCTCTGGCAACTTTTAGGATTCTCCTGATGCTTCTTTTAACTACAGTTCTTCCATCTGTTGTCTGAAGAGCTAATGTGACCTGAAAGGCATAGATTTTCAGCTCTGGACCACCTCATTAGGCTTAATAGGGAAGAAACCTATTTTTTAAAAAAAATTTAATTTTTTATTCTCAGTTATGTATTAGGGGCTGTACCAAACCAGATGGAAGAGATGATGGGAAAATATCTTGCATTATCTATTTTATGATCCCAATTACCCTTCTTGGAAAAGATATATATTAAGGAAACACAGCAAACTTGTGCGCAACTGAATGAAACAAGCAATCTCTCTTACCTTACATTTAGACTTATCATCCCAAGGCTTGGCATTTTTTTGTCTTTTGTCTTTCTGTCTTTCCTATATGTATCTTTGAAGCTTTGTTTTTAAATCAGTAGCAGTTGTCCTTTCAGTTTTCCTTCCTAGGCCAGTTTGAAGTCTTGTTTTCTTTTACTTTTTCATTTTTTAAAGCTGTTAGAATGCAATTACTTTTTTATACATGCTTTGGAGATACAATTCTAGCATTTGTGGACTCTTTATGATTCGGAGTAACTCAAATCAACAAAATAGCATATTGTTCACGCCATTTCTCACTTGAGAGTTTCATTGTGTAACTTTCTTAAAGTCACTTATCTGAGATTAAAATCATACTCAAAACTGTGATACAGCAATAGTTAGCTTCTGATCTAGTGACTCAAACATTTACTGGTTTTTATTTTGCTGAAATCTTTAGAGTAAAATTGGTATATTATAGTACCTTTTAATATCTATTGTGGTAATTCTCATCAGGCCTGTTTTAGGCATTGTTTGGTACTGAATAATAATTTATTTTGGAGTAAAAATGATACTTATTTGTAGGAAGAAGAGCTGAAAATGAAACTTGGTGCTTGAAGAATTACTTTTGCTATCACTTTCAAGCAATGAGATGCATAAGCTGTGAAAGAAGGAAGTGGTGAAAAGTCTTCATCACCTGGGTCCTTTAACAGCATGGAATGGAATGGAATGGAATGGAATGGAATGGAATGGAATGGAATGGAATGGAATGGAATAGAAGAGAGGAGAAGAGAAGAGAGGAGAAGAGAAGAGAAGAGAAGAGAAGAGAAGAGAAGAGAAGAGAAGAGAAGAGAAGAGAAGAGAAGAGAAGAGAAGAGAAGAGAAGAGAAGAGAAGAGAAGAGAAGAGAAGAGAATGATCCTGTTTGGCCAGAAAAATGATCTGTTATTTCACTTCTAGGTTTCTTCAGTTTCTATGTACCACACAAAGTGAATTTCCACTCTTAACCATGCAGGCATAGGTGTGCACCAACACAATGAAACACCAGCTAAACAGGAATAGTAAATTATTAAAAGTATATTTCTTCAAAATATTTGACTATGGAGAAGATGTAGTGTGTGGGTGTGAGAAGATCATTGGATTTAACTCTATTTTTTCACTTCAGTGCCATTGTGAGAAAGGTGAGATAAGGTGAACTTCTCCATTGGGGCTCTATAGGTTTTGGAGAGGAAAAAACGACTGCTTTGTTTGAGTGTGTCCCTGTGTTATCTGGCTCTGCCATGTCTTGGGTCAACAGCTGGAAAAAAGCTTTAAAAATCCATAGATGACAGCAGTGTTGGATAAAATGTTAAGAGCATCCTGTGACTTTTGTGACTAGATGTTCTTCTCATGTCAGAATTTAACTTATGTGTTTTAGGAATTGCAGGGTAAGATATATGTGATTTTGTACATCTGGACAATGTGTTTAATACAGAGAATGCTAAGCTTTTGTCCACATAGTGTGAAAATAAAATGGACACTGTGGTTCATAGGAATCAGACTTACTGGTAGCAGGCTTTCAGAGCACAGAAAATGTTCTGCTGCAGCACAGCTTGAGGTTCTGCTTTGAGACACCATAGATAATTCTGCTGGCTTTGGTTGGCCTGGCTTTTCTACCTTTGCAACATCAAATCTTTGCAAATGGGCAGTGAAATCATAACTTGAAAACTTAGTATGTTGTGCTGTCTTGTTTGTTAACTTTTTTATCTTTGTGTCTGCAAATTTTTATTTATTGGTAGGAAAATCAGACTACATAGTAGTTTGTCCTCATAATAACGATGCCCTCATCTAATTCTAGGTAGTCAAATATTTTCTCATATATATAACCACCATATAAATAACCACTCTTATATGCTTAAAATAGTTGTAATAAAATGTGTCAATTTTCTTTAAAATTAAAGAGAATGACGAAGAAATCCTAATGTGCATTTTTTAAAGAATAAAAAGTATGCAATGCTGAATGGCTTTAACCAGTCCACAGCTGTACTAAATAATCAGTCTAAAGACAGTATATCCTGGGATGATCTAACGCAAGGTAAATGTTAAGGATTTATTTTTTTTTTTTCTAATTTTCTCAAGTTTAAAGAATTTCTGCTCTGTGCATAAGTGAAAGGAAGAGGATGAATCCTGGTTTCTTCACAGAAACAGTCTACTGAAGTTATCTGGACTACTTGACTACTTAAAACCATTATCTGGACTCATACCAGAGCATTACAGGTGATGTTCCAAGGAATACATAATATGTTTTGTTTGTGTAAGCAAGAGACTGCAGGACCTGGATACTTTACTGACCAAGGTTAATTTTGAGAAATGTAAATGAGAATCAGCTGCTGTGGGATTTTCAGTATCTAATAATTTACTTCATTTACAGTGCTCTTTATAGTTATTTCATGCTCCACAGTGTTTATTATAAAGCTAGCTTATATTTTTCCCATGAAGACTACACTGCTCAGAGAAAATATCTTTGAAAACACATGTTGTTACATAAGAGCCTGTTTGTGGGAACTTCGGGGAATTTGTGCTGACTTGCTTAATCATCCTCTGGAGAGCAACAACCCCTACTTCCTGTCTGCTTCTATTACTTGTTGCTGTGCCTTAAAAAGAGAGTGCAACCAGGAAGAAAACATTTCTAAACCAACAGAAAACACTTGAAAATATATATAAAAAAAAAACAAAACAGCTATGTGAGATCAGTTCAGTGTAAATAATAAACCAGCTCTTGAATGTTGCACATTTGATCTATGTAACATAATGGTAAAAATACCGTGTGCAACTTTCTCTGGCTTTCAGCATAGCACAATGAAAGTCTGATGCCAGCTTGGAGGTAATTTGCACAGATGTGGATTAGTATTTGTTTTATTTGTCTCTAAGGTAGTCATGCTCACATACTTTTTAAAAATTAGCTTTTTAAAAATTAGAACAGATTTGTAGCTGTTGAGAGAACAGTTGAAACTGATATGAAATCAGTGTATTCATGTGTGTTAGATGCTCTTCAGGTGCATATATGAAAAATATCTTTTTTAATGGATGAACCAAGAGAAAAAATAGGCCAACTGAAATATACCGCTCCATATTTAGGTAGCATACCCATATCCCATGTGTTCTTTCAATGATGTAGCAAAAAGAGCTGGTGGTTAATACCCTCTGAGACTATCCTGTACAAAAAAAACCAAAACCAAAACAAAACAACCCCAAACCAACAAAACAAAACAAAAAACCCACCTAAGAAAATCCTTTTTTGTAGCCGAGGGAAAACTACTGGCTTTTGTAGGGGCATTGTCCTCACTGTGTTTGTAATGTACCTCCAGTTCCTTCTGTAATGCCAAAGAAGTGTTCAGTGCTGCTCTGTCCTTTTGAATCTAATTTCATGACCCTGTCTGTAGAGCAGAGTCATTCATGTTTTCTTGAAGTGGATTTTGCAAACAACCTGGGAAAGGTATAGGAACTAAGTACAATCCTACAATACTGTACTTCAGTGTTGTGAGTTAGATGTCAGTTTTCATTAATATCCATTTTCTTTGGGTTGATATATTTGATGAGATCGAGGTACTTCTTTTGGTACTTAGCTGAAGAATTAATAAGAATGATTCACCTTAAACCAGACTTTTAATATCCTGTTCCTAATGACCTTGCTGAAGCATCTTTCTTGACTTTGTCAGAATTTAGCCTTGTACTAAATCCTTAGTTCCCCCTGATTTGTGTGAGGTCACCTTTCAGATTTTTCTCTGGCACTTTTTGTCTTCTAGTATGAAGAAATGCAGGTTTCTTCCTATATCTGAAACTAGCTTTTAAGCAGTCTAATCTGCAAACATAGATTTAAGTATTGTTTTTGTGCTGTGTGACTTGTATCTCTTTACTTCAGACATCAAGTTTTTCTGTCTTGCTTAAAATCTTATTTTTTACTGTGAAGTATCAATTCATGTTCATGATGGCTGAAACAGGTTTTTAGTCCATCTGCTGTAAAACCTCTGTTCATTCTCTCTTGCTGAACATGAACTACATCACCACTTCTCTGGGTCAATAAAGCCCATAACTGTGAGAGATGGGCAGGAGCCATTGATTAGGTGTTCACTTTCAGGTCTCACCAATCTGTTTGCATAACACCTCTAGGATAAGACTTTCTGGTCAGCACTGATGTTTAAAATGCTTTTCGAGGTGGCTGTTTGTCATAGTGCAAGATTCTTTTCTTCAGAAGCAAGAAGACATTCATGCTTGTGCTATGTTCACTCAGAAAATGTATCTTTGTTGCTGGCAAGAAATGCATCACCACAGAGATGTTTGGGGACATTTTGGCTCCAACCATAATAATATAATAATATAATGATAATATAATACTCCATGCCTTGGAAGTTCTGTATCCAAGGGAAAAATTTATGTGCAAGCAGCAGTGAGGAAATCAGGAAGTTAGATTATCCTCCTTCTTCCTCTCACCTAAGGATGAAACAAAATTAAATTCAGACTACAGCTCTCTGTGTAAACAGGCAACCGTGCTGATTGGTTTCATTACCTTCCTTGGAAGAAAGAGCGGGGAAAAAAAAGGCAAGCTATGACATGTGCTACAAGTGTTTCTTGCAAGACAAAGTTAGAGTCAGAATGAAATAGCAAAGCAGAGAATGAGAGAAAATCAAAGGAGAAAGGATGGGAAATTCTTAATCTTTAATTAATTAAATTCTTATTGTATATTTTGCTGTTTTAAGGGAACCAAGGCAATAAGTAGTAATTTTCTTATAGATTGAAAAGAAGAACTACTTAAGAAATAATTTCTCAACACTGATTATTTCTGATTTCTGTGGAATTTCCAAATTGTATTTGTTCTAAAAAATACTGGGGGATATTCCCCAGTTTTGAAGTTCTTGCTGCAAAAGGCGTATTCTTATATATGCACAAAATCTCAAATGCCTGCGAGAAAGTCCAGGCCAGTGTTGACTTCTTCCTTTTTCCAGATAATGAGTATTTTAATAAACTGATGAAAAGGTCTTAGCTTTAGCACAAAAGCCTTTTAGTCAGGTATGGAATTTGGGGACAAATTTAGTTCCTTTTGCATTTTGGAGAAAGGAAAGGAAGCATATTTCATTATCATTTTGGCTTCCAAAGTAGCACATGGCTTCCTGTGTTGAGGAAGTATTCAGCTCTGGAAACCTTCCTGTTTTCCTTTAGCTTAGTGTTGTCCTTTTGTTTGTGGCATCTGTGGAGGAGTTTGAGTTAAAACCCAGGACTGACAGCAACATTCCTTTCTATGGCCTTTTCAGAGCATCACCTTTGCAGCTTGAATTAAACTGTTGTCATAGCTGACTGTGGCATAGCTGCTGCCTTCTGCAAGCTCGCAGGAACACAGAATACAGAATGTGTAGTTCTAAAAGAATACCCAAATGAAATCTGAGATTCAAGTTCTACCTAAGCAATAATTTTAAGTAGCTCCATTTCTAGGTGTAGGGTGCTAATTGAGTGGTATTGATATTATACTAAATGAACATGCATCATTGAAGTCTATTGTTGCATTGCTTTGTTTAAAATATGTAGTACTTTGCCAGCAGCAGCATGCTGATGGAAAACTGTCACAACAGCGATCAGTACAATCTGGGAGTTAAATTTGACTGAAACATATGTCTTCAATTTTAATAGCTCAACTTCCCAGATGCCCTAGAGGAGAATATTGCCTGAGAAGGAGCTTTTCATGTAAGAATAATTTGTGTTAAGTAGCTCAGTGATCTGTTTGTTAGGTTAGAGCTGACAGTTTGTTTATATTTCTAAAGGGGTATGATGAATGGGGGAGAAGTTGATGCTAATTAGCCTAAATTGTTCCTAAGAATGCAGAGCACTTTGCCAGTTTCATTGTTTCTGTTTCTTTGCACATTTTCAATAATTGAATAGAGCTCAAACCATTCATCATAATTTTAGGTAAGATGGAAATAAATGAATATAGCACAGGTTAGTCTGTGTGATGGAAGATGTCACTTTAGAGGTCAATTAGATAAGACATCAGACTAGGACTAATGTAGCATTTTCTAGTCTGTTTCTATGAATATAGCAATGTGAGACATTTTAGATGAAAAAATAATTCTCTCTGACATGATACCAGTATTAAATACTTCTTCCAAAGCTTTATGGTCTCATTAGCATAATGTTTTTATCTTAGCTCTCAGCTGTTACGTCTGACACTCCATATGACAAAACATGCTACTTTTGTGTTTACTGTATATCAGTTAAATAAATCTAAAAAGTCTGCTTTTGGGAGACCAAAGATATTGGTCAGGTGTGATATGCAGAAGGTGTTAGCAAAAGGGGATAAAATGTATCAGAGGCAATACAAATGTAACAGCAAAGAAGCTTTTATTATTGTTTGATTTCAGCATGCTGTACAACTCATTGTTTTTAGGTTTGGGGAACATAAAATTCTGCTCAAATTTGAAACATCCTATTCATACACAAAACAATAATTTTATAAGAATGTTTATTTTGTATCAAACATTTCCTTGATAAATTGAAGTTAGATTTGGGGTATGGGGACTTGGAATGTTCTGTTTTCAGTCCTTATACAAGACCATTCTTTTTTAATTTATGCACATATAATACCACAGGAAGAGATGGTATAAATTTGTGGACTGTGGAGAATGAGTGAACATTTTTGAATCAGGATCTTTAAAAGGGGTGAAATTTGAGTATGATTAAGTTAGGAAAAAGGCTCGCTTACGGCGGAAGTCAGAGACTCTGTATACATTATAGGCATGTCATGGCTTTTAAAAAGTTATGTTAGACTTCTATACAAATTGCGAAGGAATTTGTATAACCCCAAACAAAATTCTGTGTGGCTCTGAATTCTTGCAAAAGTACAAAATAAAGTAAAAAGGAGTGAAATAATAATAGTAGTTAGTATTCCGGTCAGGAGTGAGTGTTGCTGTAGGGCAGGCTGCATGGGTGTTTTGTTGGTCACTAATTTTCTTGGAAGGAAATGATCCCATGGCTTATGCTATCCGCGTTTGTGCATATTTGCCCTATAATTGGCATTTATTAAGGGGACTTTTGGTTTGATGGATGACTGTCAGGGTATTGCCTGCTAGCTTTGATGCGGATTGCTTTTGCATGAGGTTTTTTTACATTAACTCATTAGAAACTCTGCTCTGCTTCAACATTCTCTTTATTTACCTTCTGAAAATGTGATACTTTTCAGCCCGAGTTTCAAGGGACTTAGTGTGGTTTTATTTGTGGACCAGTGTTTTCATTTGGACAGATGAAAAAGACACATAGCAGAAAAATACTTAATTTTCAACCTGTGAATCATAAAACTTATGAGTATCACCTTAATTACTTATCTTTAAAATACTGAGCTGCTAGCAAAATATCTCTGCTTTATAGCACTGACTTCTCTGTTCCTAAATTTTTTTTAAGGGGGTAAAAAGGCAAGAAAAATCCAGTCCCATAAAAGCAGCAGGTATAGTAATATTTTCACAGCAGGTTGATATTCCAAGAATGTTCAACAAATCCAGGATTGGTGTCTGAGAAGTATTAGTGGTTTCTTCAAGGCTGGATTGACTTGGTCTGTTCCTGTAATGTATCTGGGACATAGGACTGTTAATTAGATTAATTAGCTATAACGTGATTTATAAGGCAGTTATAATAAAACTATGGTTACCAGTGTATTTAATTGCATG